AAAAAAAAAAAAAAAAAAAAAAAAAAAAAAAAAAAAAAACTTCAGGCGCCTTGACTATTCTCCCTGTGGGCACCTCTCCCGTTGACCCCTTTTGTCAGCGCATACCAGCTGGCTAGCAGGAAGAGGGTCCCTTGGCAGACACGACAGCCCTTTGGCAAGTGAGGAGACACTGAGAAGAGGCTCCATTGACATGAGAGCCGCCCAGGCCCTTCTGTGAACCCAAGGGCCAGGCTTCATCCTTGTCAGGTCTTCAATCCATGGTGACCTTCTTAGCACAAGGAGACAGTGGTATCATGACCTCTGGGGTCTACCCTAAGCCAACTAATGTCCCATCCAGATCTCTAAATGTCTTTTTCTTGTTCTGGACTCTGGAACTTCCTGCATAACTACTAAGCCACAGAGTCTGAGGGCTACCGGTTCTCATGAGGCAGCCCCTTTCTGCTCCTGGCAGTTCTTTTCTGCTCCAAAAGATTAGCTTTTGAGCAGAGAAGTACTTGAAGAAGCAAAAAGGAAGGGAGGGGAGGAAGAGGAACGAGGGGAGGGGGAAGGACAGAACAGGGGGTGGAGGTAGCAAGGGAGACTATCCAGAGATGTTAAAAAAGAACAGAGCATCTCTAGAGGAATACTCAGAAACGCTCATCTAGGCCAGCGAATGGCTCAGCAGATGAAGTTGTCCACTGGCAAGTCTGACATCCTGAGTTCGATCCCTGAGATGCACATGATGGAAGGAGAGGGGGAAAATATCTAGTTTAAAAACAAAAAATGCTTCAGCCGTTGGGGGTGATGGCACACGCCTTTAATCCCAGCACTCCGGGAGCAAACGCAGGTGGATCTCTGAGTTCAGGACCAACCTGGTTTACAGATGGAGGTCTAGGACAGCCAGGGTTATGCAGAAAAACCCTGTATTGAAAAAAAAAATGTAAAAAACCCTTCTCGCAAACAAACAGATAAATAAAAAATTAATGTTCATCCTTCCATTCAGGATAAAGGTTACCTCCGAGACCCCAGACCTCAAACTTCATACTTTGTGGTATGAACCCTCTCCTTTTCTTTCATAGAGTGGCTTGTATAGCCGTCTTCCTGGCTCAACCAGGCAGAATGGGCAGGAAGAAACACACCAGGCCTGTCTCCCAGGGCACGGGGAGGGGGGAGCAGCAGGTGTGTCAAGGCATTGGTGTCTGAAAGGCAAGTTGCCTCTGCTCTTTGCCTTGGTACAGGGCAGAGCAGTGGGCCCACGGGGTCCTGCTCACCTCATGCCTGGTCTTGGTTGTTCTCCAGAGCCTGGTGGAGATTCATGGCAGAGCATGAAGTAAGTTGTGTTCTAGGCGTGGAGTGAAGAAGGCTCTGGAAACTGGCTCAGCACAGCAAGGG